ATATATATATATATACACACACACAAAAGTTTCACCTATCCTCTTTATCCGGCCGCTCGCACGGAGCAAAGGAATTAAATCCACTGTCAGCGAAGTCCCCGTGTACCACCGCACAGCATCCTTTTGAATGCCTGTCGAAATTCCGGCGAGAACACAGTGTAAATTACGGGGTTGAGGGTGCTGTTGAAGTATCCGAGCCATAGGAACACACTGGACACGACTTCGGGTGGCTTGCAAGTCTGGCATGTGGCTTGCAGCAGCGTGGTGAAAAAGAACGGTAGCCAGCAGGCGACGAAGGCACCGGTGATGATCGCCAGGGTCTTCGCTGCCTTACGCTCGCGTTTCGACTCGATCGTCTCGCGTGTGCGCTTCGTGCACTTGACTACCGGCTGCTGGCTCGTGCTGGTCGGATTTGTCAACGTCGTCGTGGTGGTGGTGGTCGTCGTCGTCGAGATCGCCGTCGGTGTTACCGTCGTCGACGGTGTGGCATTCGCGCCGTTGTACGACGACGATTTCTCCGGCGAGATGGACGAGTGGTCTGGCGTAGTTCTCGTGATGGTGAACGCCGTCGACTCCTCGCGCGGCCTATCATCAGATAAATCATAATTATGCTGGTCAAGAGAGAGAGAGAGAGAGAGAGAGAGAGAGAGAAAGAGAGAGGAGGGAGAGAGAAAGAGAGAAACTCATCCGTCATCGATTCGTTATCGCGTGATTAACGACGTAGGAAGGGCGATATTAAGAATCTTTATGAAAGAAAAGATGGTGAAGAAACGATGGAAGGGTAGCTGTATATATGAAGAGTTGTATATTCATTTCTTTCATATGTATTTGGATACGGCGTTTCTCTGATAATTGTAGAAGATACATTAATTTACTGTTAGCTATAGAATACGAATTAATAATAGAATTAATTATTATGTTAATAATTATTAAAATTGATATGAAATAATTAGAGAAGAAATATATTGTGCAAAGTTATAATTGGTGAGTTTACGTGAATTTTGGATGAATTTTGAAGCAAGATGAACAAATAGAAAAATTATTCTCCGTTTAATAGAAGTCTAAAGAAATGATAGAAAGATGTAAGATTATTTATACTTATTCGAAGATAAACAATTACAACAATATTGTTTCGGAGCGATGTTAAGCAAATCGTTATACAATAATATTAATGATAATTTAGTAAAGAATTATTTATTTATGGCAGATTAATATTTATAGTATCAAGCACTTATTTTGGAATTTAAAAATGAACGATTTATTTTAAAAGCGACAGAGCTCGGAAGATATACTATATAACTATTAAGCAGTGATAATGTTCTTTTTACGATAGGACGCTCAACAGGTAAAATCATACCTTTGTTCTCGTAGTAAAGGCCTGCACTGGTCATTGAGATAAAAATGCTTAGAGCATGCTAAGTCACTTGAGATAAAATACTGCGTGCTATAAAAATATTTATTTACAAGTTAAATTATGAACCCCATAAAGAATGCGTTCTTGGCAAGATATTAGGGGAGCAAACTAAATCTTGTGAAGGATTTACGCCATTTCTCAGCAGCTCGACTGTGAGATTTATTTTACGTGGCTTAGCGCATTGTTATCCCTCGAGCTCTTCAGGTTTATTGCAATTGCGAAAGGTGACATCTTCGATTACACGTTTCAGATTTAGGTAGGGATTCTGACATTAGGACATCGTGACATTAGGAAGGGAACAAAAAAGGCTATAACCTTCTCGAGACCAGCCTGAGGATGCCCCTTCGTTCACGCGGCGGCTGAATAGTGCCAGGCCTCTTCCTAATCCTTTTTCGCGCCGCTTGGAATATCCTCCAATACAGGAATAAAATAACTAGCAGTGGGACATAAAACGTCGCGCAAGTTGCGAAAATCTGTAAAATAATATACATTTTTAAACTGATGATTAATTTTATAACATTATGATTTTAGCTTCAGTTTGTGATTGCGTTTCAAGTCCGATCATAATTGACGCACAGTTTATATAATTGGAAGATATATTTAAAACACATATGTACATATAAATATTGTTAAGCATCAAGGTCTTATTCCGATCTTTCTTTATACTTAATTATTTAATTATTTATACAGTGTTTAGTTTATTATATTTTTTAAAAATAATATACGTCATAAATATATCATACACTTCCACATTAAAAAATTATAAGTTAGCTCTAGGTGACATTCATATCGCTATAATGAAAAATGAATTTCTACTGAGATGTCCTGATATGTGTATTATAATCTCTCTGAAAGATTTTCTCTGAAAGACGAAAGTTTGTCTATGATGTGACTATTAGGAGCAACTAAAAATTCCGTGTAATTACTCAGAACGAAGAATACGTTCTTCGAAGTGTTATCACTTCCACGAGAATACACGAGCGTATTTCCTATGGTCACGAATATTAATCAAGTATTTTGGATCTGCTCACAATTCTCCGGAAGCGCTCACCTGATATGCAGGATCCTGCGACACGAGACACGTCCCTTGGGCTATGCGGACCAAATAATCAGGATCCTTCCATCCGAGCTGAGGCGCTAATGAGATTCCTAAGGATACCACCCACACGGTGATGATCAGGATGCCGATTCTTCTCGGATTCCTCGCCTTAAAATGGGAAGGCAGCGTTAATGATGTATGTTCCGTCATTTTATTTTTAGCCGTAAACTTTATCACTAACTGAACTAAGTTTTAGCTTTAAGATTAATTGAATAACTAACGTTTACTTTTTTTTATCTATGTTTCAAGTAATTTTTAGTATATTTAAATATTTACGATGCAATTACTTCGATACAATATATTTTGTGTAGATAATGGTGTAAGCTACAAATATTGTGCTATGTAAATTTTCGTTATTACAATATGCATTTTTATAAAACTCTAAAATTAGAACATAATACTTTATTGCTTCGATAAATTTTATACTTTCCGCGAGACCGCGTGCATTACTAAGAACATTGTCTTGCATCAGTAAATTAAACTTTTAATTAGATTTGCTCATACACCTAGTTTTTTTTAAGAGACGAGAGAAAGAGAGTTTATAATTATTCCGCTTGTTTGAGAAAATTGCAGCGCCTGCTTTATCTGCATATCTCTTTGCCGGATACATAAATTCAAGCCAATTTCTCACATACTCCATTATTTGCAAGATAATTGACTTGCCAGTTAAGGGGCCGATACACGCCTCTTTCCATCAGTTGGGAAATGCAAGTTAGCTGTTAAATTCGACCAGGCTAGCTGATCGCTACGCAGCTTATCGAGCTTTAAGCTAATTCCAAACTAACTCGGAGCCATCCATAGAAGAGAGAGGCTATATACCAAAGATATTACATAACATACTCGTCTCATACCGGTCAGACATATTTATGGACGGGATATCCTGGTCGTTTCGCTTTACGGTCTTACCCTTTTTCATACTTCATGAGCAGTGTTCCCTGTAATTCTCGTTACATCAGCCTGCGCGCACGAGAAAGAGAGAGAGGAATTTGCCTCCGCCCAAATTTCGACGAAAATTTATGAGCGATTTCATGACCTTATTTCGCAGTAAATGTATAGATCCGAGTATACTGAAATATCTGTCTCGCAGACTTGAATACCGAGGAAGAATCGGACTTTTATTACACTTTCGATAGATAGAGGAATAAAATAAACGACGTTCGTCTGGGTTTTAAACTAAAAATGTGTTGGAAATTTAGAAAGTTTCTAAAAAGAAGAAGATTAAATTTTTGCGAATGATTCTAAAATACGTGTGGAATTATAAAATCTGTGGAAAAGGAGAATTATAACGAGCGATGGAAAATTTTCCCAGATACTTTATATATAAAGTTGCAACGCACAGATTTCCCCCGCGTGTCAAATCCTATTGAAATCCTATGCACACCATTCCCGAATTGATAAAATTGTATTTCCATATGTTGCGATCTTCTGGGTATTCAAAGAGATTTGCGAGACGATATGTAGTTCCGTTCGCGTCACGATCTCGATTGTGTCAACTCCCGCGCGGCTCTTCCCTATCTCGCGGCGTGGCGTGTGGCGTGGCAAGTGGCAGTGTCAGCGACAGCGGATAACAAAGACCGTATCGTTCGCATCGTATCCCGGACAATTTCCTACTTCCTCTCGATAACCGCAACGGCGTTAATTAACCTGTATATAATTGATATCGGTGACTGCCCAATATCTGTCGACCGCGATAGCCACCAGATGCAATATCGAGGCTGTGCAGCACAGAACGTCGCTGCTAGTCCACATGTCGCAGAGCTCCGGACCGAGTGACCACCCCGAGTTTATCTGCAATAAACAGAATTATCCATCAGAGAGCGTGAGCTTAGCGTACCGTGCGAGGATAGCGAGAAATCGATGCGGGAATCGCAAGATTTCCATCGGAGTGTCTCGGGATAAGTTAAACCCTCCAATGAATGATCCATTGACTCTATTCGCTCATTGTTCTATGAAAGTAATCTCAGATAGCACAAAAAGAATTCGTATGTTATAAATTCTGAGTTCATTTTACATACAAAAAGAAATCTTTTCAGACCTGCATAGAATAAGAATTCCTTTTATGTCTGAATGAATTCTAAATTAATAACATGTAACAACTGCATTCTGTTTCTTTCTGAACTCTTTGCACTATCTAGAATCTTTAGAATATAAGTATAATTACGAATAGAAATCAAGTTTAATACATATTTAAAAATCTAAATGAAATTCAATAATCAAGTTTTATTTTTTAGGCTTTGAGTGATATTCATAAGAAATATTTCATATATTACTTATAAAGTCATTAATCTCCACTCTCTCTATTTAGTTTCGAATTTTAGAACGAGTTTCTACAAGATTCAAAACTATTTTTTTATCATAAAAAAATCGAATCTTTTAAAAGTTGTACTCGAACTCTTTCTAAGGATGAAGTTACTAGTTTAAAAAACATAATATAAAAATTGTAGTAATACATAATATTGTAAAATTTAATATTATAAAATTAATAATTTACAATTTACAATTACAATCTTTACAACATTTGCTGCTTTATACAAACGTTTTGATTCGTAGAAAAATAAAGTTTTTAGTTTTCACAAAGGATCGAACGTATCTGATCCAGGTTCAAGTCTATTTGGAAGAAAGACTTTTATTTCATTTTTATCAAGATAAAGTACTCAAAAAGAGTTCGAAACTACGCCAACAGATTCAATCTACTTGTAAGTTATTTAATCTCATCTCTAATAAGCATCAATAATTTTTCAATGACACACGATATATTATTTTATCACGGGTGCAATACATTATGTATGGCATACTCAATTTTACTTATAATTTTCATAAAAATGAATATATCGTAACACATCTTTTTATTCAATCAAAACACCAGACATTAAGGAATACAACGGTATTAAGTAAACGTATATGTATCTTTATTAAAATAATTATAAGTAATAAAGAGTAAATAAAAAAGTTTTGATAAAATCTAAATTTTTTGAAAAAAACCGAGTTCGTCGTATTGAGATTAATTTTTCTTTGCTAGAATTCTTCTCAAGATCGTGTCACCTTTGTCATAATATTTTTATAAAAATGCAAAAATTAATTTTTGCTATTTTTTTATACATCAAATCTCGTTGGATAAATAACATTTATTTTTATTCACTCTATATGTATGTATTGCGTTCGATTGATCAGTATGTTAAGGATTGCACATAGTTTCGGACGACAGTTTTCCACGCAGTAAGGAGCATGAGAAAATACGGATTGAGGGTCGAAAGGGAAAACATCCGAGCTGAGCCATGGTCGACGGAGGGACAACGGAAAACACATGAAGGGAGATAGTAAGAGTGATGTTGTAGAAGAGCTGGTAAGAAAACGGAGAAGAGAACTGATTCATGCCTGCTTAAAAGTCCATTCATGGTATTGGAATCTATCGTTGAAAGCCAATCGTCTCTTGTCCTCCTTTCAGCACGGCGGCTCCTTCACCAATATACATCCATTCCTTTATACTTTGAGATTAGAACATTCCGGAAGTTGATGAGTCGCATCCATCTTCCGGAAATATAAACACCTCTCAAAAGTAGCATACGGAAGTCGATGGAGAAGCAGTTTTAACATCAAGGATCGCAAAGATTCTCGCGACAAGAGATGGCATAGTACAATCTATCATACGCGAAATTATTAAAAATTTATTACTAATAGTAATAGTCAATTAATCATTTACTTCGAATATTAAATAATTGATAAATTGGTTAGTACTAGTATCAAATTTCTATAAGAGTATTGTGAAAATGTATTTGTATTATACACATATCCGTATATTTAACTTTTCCTATAACTTAAATTCTCTATATTTTTATCTTATCAGTAACCTTTAGATTAAATATTTGTATATCTTTAAATCGAAGTATACGTAATTATAAAATATAAAAAGCGGAAAGTAATTTAAGTTTTACCGCGTCCACTTTCTTTTTAAAATTTGAATTAAGATCCGTTTCAAAAGTTTCTATACTTTTTTTCTACATTATATAACTAAAGCTATATCTATTGAAATAATATGAAATGTTTTTCTTCGAAACTTTTCTAACTCTCTATTGTTGGGTTTCTTTACGTTACATTATTTATTTAGAATGAAACTAAAAATGAGAATAGGTTTTTAATGCTCGTCGAGAAAACCATGATAGAGCAAATAGTGAACTTAAGAGTGTTCTAGTTCTTGACTATCCATCGTATTCATCTATAGTTACCTGACTATTTTCTTCTTTCAAAGTTGGAAATGAAATTGAAAGAGCAAGATTTTAACACGATTTTGGAAATCATGAGATATAGATTTCAAAGATTTCGTTTCAAAGGAAGATTATTAAAAATGTTTACAGAAATTGTACGCTGTAAAGATCGTATTTCAAAAGGAAAATTAAATTGGGAGTTAGTGCGGTAAACGCTGCGTAAATTGTTAATAATCAATATATTAATTTGATAGAATTTACATGAAATTCCAAATAAATTTCTTCATGAACATTTCAATTACATTTTTGTAGCCATCTTTAACATTACTTGAAAGGAAATAGAGTAGTTTGAATAAATAAAATTACAAAAATCACACGAGAAATTTTATTTTTAAATAAAGTTCGAAAATGTTAGAATAAATTATGTATGTCTGATTAAAACTCAGAAAAATTGCTTTGCGTTAGTTGAGTGCGATTATCGACAACAATCGCGGCTAAAACGTTGACGCAAATCTCCTTCTTAACAATTCTTCTCATATCGAGCATCTTCTAGAGTCTCCAAAGGGTTTAATCAAGCGTCGCGTGTACACGCGCAGTTAATGAAGTCGTTCGCGTGCACGTTTCTGGCGTCCGCCGATAAACGGGTGAAAGAGGCGGTGGTAAAGCGGACATCCATCAAATGTTCGGATTAAACGGCAGACGTATAAATTTCTACGTGTCCGTGTTAAGAGGATGGATGCGCGCGTCGATCTAGTACATGGCGGTAAAAATTGTTAATGCGCCGGCTTAATGGTAGTTGAGATAAAATTGCATCACATTAATGATAAAGCGAGAGAGATATCGACACGCCAGCGACGATGAAGAGGACTTAAAGAACATGATGGGAAGAGAGAAACTTATTTTACGCTGGAGACATCTGTGAAAAGGGAGAAGGACGCGGTGCGTGTCGTAAAATGTAGCTAGAGTGTGGAAATATAATATGAGAGAAAAGTGGAATGAGAAAAGAAGAGAAAAAAAGTACTGAGATGAGGTACATGTAGAAGTGCAGACAAAGTATATGATAAGATATGAGAAGCTGTGTTTAAAAGCTGCGTTAGGAAAACGAGGGATTTAAATAAGGATATATATATATATATATACATCGGAAAAACTCCGTTAAACAGAGGATAATCAGGTTGAACGGATATATCCCAGAATGAAAAGCGGGTACAAGGAAATATTATTATGTAGAGCGCGATTGTAGTCAAATTCGTATCATCAGCGTGAATTTCTGCGTATTATCTTGACGTTTATCAATCCTGCTGTATTTCAAGTGCAGAACGTGTTTAAAAAACGAATCGTAATTGAAAATATAACGTAATGATCACGCTAGGACGCACGTATTATCTCTCGCGGTAAAAAGTAATCGCAGTTGAAATTTTTATTAATTAATTAACGCCGCTGTAATTAATGCTTTATGTTATTCCCGTTATGGTGTAAGGTCCTGTTTACTTACTGACGCTTATTAAATATAAATGCACGGCGCAGCGAATTTCTCTAGAACAGAGAATCGAAAGCTAATCATTTGTATGTACATAGCTATATCGCTTGTTATCTCTGTATACTCGCGCGTTAATTGTTGAATATGTATATGTGTAACAATGTTCCCCATCGTTTGCATTCGCGCTGGAAATAACATAAGAGATATCTCGGCGTAGAAAACTGCTTTAGCTTTTAAAGCATCGCAGTCGTGACATTAAAGTCCTTTTTTGAGATTGTGGCATTTGTAAAATACCACGATCGAAATAAAATTCTAATAAAATGCACGCGTTAAAATTCCACTTGTATTTTCCCGAAATTTCGATATATAATATTAAACATTTAATTACGCGACGTGTCATATATGAAAAGTGATCGTCACTGTAAATTATCTCGTCATAATTACTATACGTAGTTGATTGTGAATTTTACCGCAATTTTCGTGAATCAAAGTCTCGCTTGTTAATAAATTATTGCTAAATTCTTCTGCGTAATTCGTATTTTCTGCAATTCTTTTCATTATTGAAATTCCCCGCGAAAATTTATGAAACTCGAGCACAATAAATTGCTGCAATCGCAATTGCGATGTATAGCTCTTTCTCGAAATATTTTACCGTCGTCACGTGATTGACAAACTCGTAAAGTTTGTTAAAAGAATTTGACATTTAAGTGCCAAAATCCACGAAGAATACATGCGTCTCGTACTGATCTTTTTTTTACAAATGCAATGCCGACTTGTCGTAAAACCGTGTAAGAAACGGTTTCTTACGGATGTTATAAACTTGTAAATGGCTGCAACGAACCATAAGTTAATGTTTAATAAAAGTGTAATGCGCGGAAAGAGAATTGTACTTCTACGAAGAGATGGTTGGCACCTCGACAGTTTTACTGAAAAATTTTTATTTCGCGAATGCAGGCTGTAATAAAATGTAGAAAAATTAATGTACACGTGTCGTTCAATATATACGCTAAAACGTATTTTACTGATAAATGTTTTAAGTTAATTATTTAATCCAGAGAAGTAATGCCTTACGCCATTATAGTTATAGTTACTAGTTTTTTTTTTAGTAATAATTGGTCAGTATCAACATTATATTTTTTATTGATAATAAACGCAGTTATATTTTTTAAGTCACATTTTTTGGGTAATGAATATAATCGTTACTTTGTACACATTAGACACATATATATGAAACATGCGCAGTTAGTTTTAAAAAAGGGAGCTATGTTTGACTATATTGCAATTAATTATGTATAATTATTAGATATTTCGTGTGTGAAGTAGTCAATTAGCGATACAGATAATTGGATGTCATTCTAAAAAAGGATAAAAAAAGATAACGGAAATTCTAACAACTGAATGCTTCTTTTGATAACGCTAACGAGTTACTTTTTCTATTGGGTATCGTGTAATGATATTTTACAATGAGTAACGAATAATGGTAACGACTTTTTTTGAAAATAACTTATTCAACTTTTTAATAAATATTGAACATTGCCAAATTACTCATTGGTATATGGAAAAAACAATTTTGCTGTATCATTAACATAAGTACAAAAATATAAAATTAATTTTTTAAACCATCAAAATAACCGTATAGAAAATTTAAGTATGATGAGTAATACTGTAAAATTTTGATATTCCAGCAATCAGCTTAAACATGCTACATAATTATTTTGATAACAATAAATTATTTTTATATGTATCTGTATTTAGCTAAATTTTTTAGCCATCCTTTTCATGTAAAGGTTATTATAACACAGAAGTTAAACGTTTTACTATCGTTTTGTATTTTATAAATGTAGGTGTAAGGTCAAGTCTACCATATTTACAAATTTTTGCAATAGACATTCCTGTTGAAAACGATAGTTTGGCATTGGCATTGCTGATGGAAATGTGAATTGTTTCTCTTACACGAATTTCGCGAACGTCGCATTTTGTCAAATTTGCAAAAAACTTTAAGACTACACGTTTTCTTGCTAAGCATTCGGCATAATTCGTCAGTAGAGAATGCATGATAATAACTTACAGTTTTAATACGTACCTCATAAACAGCTCCGAGAGGCATTACGAGACAGGCGACCATAAGATCCGCGACAGCCAAACTGACTATTAAATAATTTGCTACAGATTGTAAGTTTCGCTCTAACAGAATAGCCGCTATCACGAACAAATTCCCTGTAACAAAAACATGTGCCATCGTGAGTAGTAAGAATAATAATTACATAGAAATACTATTTCAGCAATATGTACAACTATATTTTTATTGTTCATAATTATTCTGTTTATTGGACGCATATGTGCTTAATTATTAAATAATAATATTTTTATAAT